TTATTGCTTATTGTTTAAATTTGAATCTTTTAACCAATTTTATACAGTTGGTGGGTTCAGTTTTAAAGTCTTACATTGGAGGGAAACCATGCCAGGGTTTTGGAGTGATAGCGTGGGCAACGGCCTGAGATACTAATATTATCAAATAAAATCTGCACTTTATTTAAAGTAGAAATCATAATCGTGTGAAGGAAACCTCAGACTGCAGTGTTCAGTGATTTATTGACACCAGGTAAGCAATCTTTAGTGTAAAATACACATTTTTATTGTTCAAACACATAACCAATGTTACATTTGTTAAATATTTATAACTGGTAATAATCCAACCCCACTAGGATTAAATAACACACAAAGAATAAAGTGATAAATAATACAGAAGTGATACTTTAGATTGTATTACACATAGTCAGATGTTTATAACAAGTAATAAATTATTCTGTTCATCTTTGTCTGAGCATAAAAATTAGATTTGATTCATTGGAATAATTTAAATTATTGGATAAATTATGACATATTAAGAAACGTTAGATAATTCTAAAGTGCCTTATGATACTGATGCTGTTACACAGCCATCTTATGTAGGAATGTTGAATTTTTTTAAAAAGAAATCTTACAAAGTCAAGTTGTGCATTTTCTATAGTGTAATATTATTGTAATACACAGTGTTAATTATCCTGAGGTACCACAGGAAAAAAAAGTTCCAAGAGTAAAAATAAATCTCATCCCTCCTCCTCAGCACAGACACAGTGCACGCTCCTTTAGAGCTGCATACGATCCACCATCACAGTGTGAATTCAGTATCTGCTAGCAGGGCCTCTGTCAGTCTGTCTCGCAGGATCTCCTTAGTTGAGTAAAAAGGCAGATACAGAATAGAGTGACATGTCAGGGCTTCAGGGAAGTGCTGATCACAGGTGCCGCTCTGAATTTGCTTAACCTGAACCTTCATCTTGACCTGGTCCATGCCAAGAATTGGAGCTCTCCTGTAACCAGTCAGGAACCCTGAAGAATAGCAGTGGAAGGAAAATCTTATTACAAACTTAGTGTAACAAATCTTGTTACAATAAGTACATAGGGTTTCTTCTGACCTAGCCACTTCATTCAAATAGACTAGAATGGTTACAGTACAGAACAGAATAGAACAGACTGTAAGCAGAAACGTAAAACTGTTTACAAGATGAGTTTAAATAAATTCAATCTGGTTAGTTGGTAATCAATATGAGTGTTTTGTGACACTGCTAATCAACATCCAAAAGATTTTCAGAATGTATCAAGAAGATGGAGCTGCTCATCATTTTCGTACAGTCTTTGTAAGGCAGTCTTTTTTCATGTTTGTCTCACTTTTATGTAAACTAGTAAATACACAGTTTTTAAATGATGATTTCATTTTTGAGGGAAAAAATTATTCAGACCTACCTGACCCCTATGTGACTGCCCACGAATCCCTTGGCAGCAAGAACTCTGATTAAGTGTTTATGCACTAACTGGCTGCTAGGGTCTTGGTATCTGGACCCAGAGTTTTGTCTTTTTACAGCATTTTGTGATTTGTTTCTTTGCATTCACAACCCTGCGTTTTGGTTTCACATCTAGTTCTCTTCATTATATATTGTATTTCTTGTGTCCCTCATGTTCCTGTGTCTGAGCTGGTCTATTTGTTTGTCTTGTATCCCTTTGTGTCAAGTTAGTTGTGATTCCTCAGTGTTTATCTGTTTGATTTTGAGAGCCTTAGTTTTCCTCTTAGTTTAGTGTTTCTAGTTTTACACCTTCTTTATTTGCTTATCTGGGTTCTGTTTCCAGTTAAAGTTTGTTGTATTCTAGCTTTCTTTTTATTTATCGTGCTTCCCCTGTGTTTAGTTACTCGCTTTATGACTTTTTTCATTTTTGTTAGTCCTTTGCCTTGTTTGCACTGTGTCTAGTTTAGATTCCCTTGTCTCTTCCTGCTGTGTCTATGAGCTGTTTTCCCCTTTTCTAAATACCTTGTGTAGAAATTGTCTGGATCTTCCCACGGTCCTTTGTCATGTCTGTTTTAGATCATGTCAAAGATTTAACTTTGACTATGAAGCAGGCAAATACTTTTACACAGCACTGTACATA